CATGCATGCACGGATCGAGGACCCTCGTCAACTTGCTTCCGATCAGAACGAGCAAACACAAACGAATCTGGCGGTTTTACGTGGATTTGGTGTGGACTCTGGTGGCGTCGCCAGAGTAGGAGTAGACACTAGGAAAACCCTAGGGGAAAAAAACTTAAAAATTGTTTCCTTCGCAAAGACTTTTTCTTTATAAGTTTCTTTGGTTTTGTAAATATAGTTTGTACCATTCATTTGAAAATCAATAAAAAAAATGCAGCAGAGCCCTATTTTTTCTCTCAAAAGAAATTGCAAACATAAATAAAAAGGATGACTTTGCAAGACCTCTGGCCAAATTCATCTACATTATGGGACTGAGGGAGTATATAATAATTGGGTCGGGGGAAATGAGTTCTCATTACACCACTTCACATTTGTTTAGCACTTATCAGGTACCTTGACATGCCTTCTCGTGATGTAGTCAACAAGCAGCACATTTTATGCTGCGACGTAACACAGAGAAATGCAGTCGACTCAGTTACACATTTTTCGGTTCCTATTACACTCTGTACGTGTTGAGTCATTCATCTGATTTACGCCTCACGTGGTGACATCATCTGCTACTCAACTGTCGCTGTCAGTCTCTTCGGAAATCAAGTTTTGGTTCATGACAAACCTCAGACTGTCACCCTCTTCAAGCTCCCACTGCTTTCTGAGTTCGCCAATGGCTCTTGCTGCAGAGCTAGCTACAGCGGGATTGGAATCTTGAGCCAATCTCTGCAGTTAAAAGAAGGGTCGACCAATACTTAAGGAATCTGATAACGTCGAACGTACGAGCGCATGGCAAATCAAACGTTTTCGGTGGCAAGTTTAGTGACACGAGGATGGCAACTTTAGTTGGCATGCCAACTTCGTGCTTCGGTTTATTTTTTGACAGAAAATTGTGTGTCAACTAACTTGCCATCCTTGCATCACTAGAATTACCATCGAAAACGTTCGATTTGCCATGTGCTCGTACCTGACGTCAGGTACTTATCATTTTCGATATTTAAAGGAAAACACTGAAACAACTTAACTTTCCAAAGTAAAACCAATAACTACAGCTCATGTAATGATAAGTGAGAATTATATAGACAGGGCTTCCCTTTCAATGGATGAGGCTTTGATGGTGGAAAAGCGTACAAATAGATCCAATGGCTTGAAGCTTTCATGGTGAAGAAGCGTAAGAATAGATGACATCTTAAAAGAGAACTACATAATTGCCTATGGGTTGCGACGGGGGCATAAATATTCTACTCCCTCGGATCCATATTACTGTACTAAACCAGCGACAAGTAATATGGGTCGGAGGGAGTGTTAGATTAGCCTCTGATTCACATGCCCACATTAATTTGAGTAGCTGATTGTTTTGGTCTAGTCATATAGACTTGTAAAGTTGTAACGCTAGTTTTTCTATCAAATGCGTCGAGATGCATGTTTTGCGTTTTCTTCGGGGAAAAAAATGTAAATTTTCTCAAAATTGCATGTCATGTCAAATGTCCGGAACATCACCTATTTACAATCTGACAGAGTAACAGAGCACAGATTGATTGGGGATCTCAGTGGTTCAAGCCACGTATAAGAAATTCAGACATGAAGAACCCAACAGTTATATGGTTCTCCTTTTGATAACAGATGAGGGATTTATGCTAACCTGTAATGCGCCCATCCCAGCATTCCCTAGGGTCCACATAGATGGAGCTGCAGCCAATGCATTAGCCAAAGCTTTCCTACAAGGAGCAAAAGAAAATAATTGACACTATTTCAACATATAACACCAAAATAGTATAGAACACAACACAGCTCAGTGGTCGGGCCACTGAGCTACAAAGGTTCGCAAATCATATTGTTAATCTTTGTTCTTCATTATCCAATTGTGAGAGGAATTGGGATGAATTTGAATTTGTGAGTCAACTAGTAAACTATGTCCTTTCCTGCAGTAATTCTAGCAATCTACTTATTCATTTTAATTGCTATTTGTAGATCCATACAAAGAAAAGGCTCACTCCGAGCTACCATCCGGCTCAAGTTCAAACCGGTCTCACCATGACCAGCAAGACCTCGAGCCCTCCCGCGCTCCAAACCCTCCTTGCAGCAACAGACTACAAGACCGAATCCTAGAACGTGAACAAGGACACTGAAACTCAAGAGCAACGTGTGAATAAAAACCGTGAATGCTAAATGCATCACGAAGAATAAAGGTGCCATCAACAAGAAGAGTGTCACCTACAGGATGAAGAGCGCAATGCGCACCACCGAGAAGAAGCTCGTCAAGCCAATCAAGAAAATCAAGCGCATCAAGCTTCCAAACCCTCCTTGCGGCAACAGACTACAAGACTGAATCCTAGAACGTGAACGAGGACACTGTGAAACTCAAGAGCAACGTGTGAATAAAAACCGTGAATGCCAAATGCGTCACGAAGAATAAAGGTGCCATCAACAAGAAGAGTGTCACCTACAGGATGAAGAGCGCAATGCGCACCACCGAGAAGAAGTTCGTCAAGCCAATCAAGAAAATCAAGCGCATCAAGCTCTTCGTGCTCAAAAACACGAATATGAAGAGCACACCCATCAAGCAAGAGAAGCAGACAAGAGGGCAAAGCTTGCCTTGAGCAACGACACAAGATGCGACGCATGGGAAATGCACCTTGCATTGATGGCCAACTGCACAATGAAGAGCATGAATAAAAACCACCGTCTCCATAACAAGAACAACGTTAACCTCACAGCCATCATGAAGCAGAGGAAAGTATTGGCAAGCTCAAGTTCACGATGACTAAGTTATCCGGCGGCATTGACCCCGAGGAATACATATCATGAGCTCTCAAGGTGGACAAGATCTTCGAGTCCATGACTTCGACAAGCCGAAGGCGATTGCCATGGCCTCCCTCGAGTTCGATGAGAATGCACTCATATGGTGGGACAAGTACAAGAAATTTGACAAGAGAAAGGAGAAGCCCCCATTGCCACTTGGATGCGAAGAAGCAAGTCATGAGAGCAAGATTTGTGCCCACACACTATAGACGCGACCTCTTCAAGAAGCTCCAAATTCTCAAGCAAGGGACCAAGACCATTGAAGAGTACTACAAGGAGATGGAAATAGCAATGATCCACACTAATGGCAAGGAGTTTGATGAGCAAAACAATGGCACCCTAATCACCTCCTCAAGAAAATTGCGGGCTTTCAACCCTACAACAACTTGCGTGAGTTGGTACACCAAGCAACAAAGGAGGAATGTCAAGTCCAAGATGACATCAACTCTCAAGCTACACCAAGCATGGCCCCTTATACTCGAGCTACACCCTCTATTGGTGCTCCTTTAAGCTGCAAAGCACCGACGACTTCTTCAAGTCGCCCTCCTACAAGTTCTTCCAAGCCTGGAACTACACCAAGTACAAGTGCTCCAAGGGACTCTGCTGTCAAAACAAGCCAAATTGAATGCTTCACATGCAAAGGCCGCGGGCAGAAGTACTATGTGTTCCCACCAAGCACATTATGGTGATCAATTGAGATGAAGAATACAAATCTATGAGTGAAGGACAATTGGAAGCTTTGCAACGTGTTGCTCAACATCAACAAGTAAACAAAGCCAAAGATGTTCATGTCTTTTGTGAGAATGACTCGAGCCCAGCTCTCCTTGTCTCCAAGATCTTAATTCCTGAACAAGAAGATGATAATGATCAACGTTGTCACGTCTTCCATACCAAGGCCTGTTGGAAATATGCCCTAGAGGCAATAATAAAATGGTTATTATTATATTTCCTGGTTCATGATAATTGTCTATCATTCATGCTATAATTGTATTGACCGGAGACCGTAATACATGTGTGAATACATAGACCACAACATGTCCCTAGTGAGCCTCTAGTTGACTAGCTCGTTGATCAACAGATGATCATGGTTTCCTGACTATGGACTTGGATGTCATTGATAACGGGATCACATCATTAGGAGAATGATGTGATGGACAAGACCCAATCCTAAGCATAGCACAAGATTGTGTAGTTCGTTTGCTAAAGCTTTTCTAATGTCAAGTATCATTTCCTTAGACCATGAGATCGTGCAACTCCCGGATACCGTAGGAATGCTTTGGGTGTACCAAACGTCACAACGTAACTGGGTGACTATAAAGGTGCACTACAGGTATCTCCAAAAGTGTCTGTTGGGTTGGCACGAATCGAGACTGGGATTTGTCACTCCGTATGACGGAGAGGTATCTCTGGGCCCACTCGGTAATGCATCATCATAATGTGCTCAAGGTGACTAAGTAGTTAGTCATGGGATCATGCATTATGGAACGAGTAAAGTGACTTGCCCGTAACGAGATTGAACGAGGTATTGCGATACCGACGATCGAATCTCGGGCAAGTAACGTACCGATTGACAAAGGGAATTGTATACGGGATTACTTGAATCCTCGACATCGTGGTTCATCCGATGAGATCATCGTGGAAAATGTGGGAGCCAACATGGGTATCCAGATCCCGCTATTGGTTATTGGCCAGAGAGCTGTCTCGGTCATGTCTGCATGATTCCTGAACCCGTAGGGTCTACACACTTAAGGTTCGATGACGTTAGGGTTATAAGGAAGATTTGTATGTGATTACCGAATGTTGTTCGGAGTCCCGGATGAGATCCCGGACGTCACGAGGAGTTCCGGAATGGTCCGGAGGTGAAGATTTATATATGGGAAGTCATCATACGGTCACCGGAAATATTCGGGGGTATACCGGTATTGTACCAGGACCACCGGAGGGGTTCCGGGGGTCCACCGGAAGGGTCCACCTACCCCGGAGGGCCTTATGGGCTGTAGGTGGAAGGGAACCAGCCCCTAAGTGGGCTGGGCGCCACCCCCCCCCCTTTGGGCCCATGCGCCTAGGGTTGGGGGGGCTAAAGGGGGCGCCCCCTTGCTTGGGGGGCAAGCCCCCTCCCCCTTGGCCGCCGCCCCCCTCTAGATCCCATCTAGAGGGGTCGGGCCCCTTCCCCCTTCTCCCTATAAATAGAGGGGTGGGGGAGGGGTGCAGCACGACATCCAAGGCGCAGCCCCTCCCCTCCCCAACACCTCTCCTTCTCCGCGTGAGCTTGGCAAAGCCCTGCCGGAGAACTGCCACTCCATCACCACCACGCCGTCGTGCTGCTGCTGGAGCCTTCTTCCTCAACCTCTCCCTCCTCCTTGCTGGATCAAGGCGTGGGAGACGTCACCGGGCTGCACGTGTGTTGAACGCGGAGGTGCCGTTGTTCGGCGCTTAGATCGGAATCCACCGCGATCTGAATCGCTACGAGTACGACTCCTTCATCTGCGTTCTTGTAACGCTTCCGACTCACGATCTTCAAGGGTATGAAGATGCACTCCCCTCTCTCTCGTTGCTAGTTACTCCATAGATTGATCTTGGTGATGCGTAAATTTTTTTTAATTTCTGCAACGATCCCCAACAGTGGCATCATGAGCTAGGTCCATGCGTAGTTTCTATGCACGAGTAGAACACAAGTTGTTTTGGGCGTCGATTTTGTCAATTTACTTGCCACTACTAGTCTTATCTTGATTCGGCGGCATCGTGGGATGAAGCGGCCCGGATCAACCTTACACGTACGCTTACGTGAGACAGGTTCCACCGACTGACATGCACTAGTTGCATAAGGTGGCTAGCGGGTGTCTGTCTCTCCTACTTTAGTCGGATGGGATTCGATGAAAAGGGTCCTTATGAAGGGTAAATAGCAATTGGCATATTACGTTGTGGTTTTGGCGTAGGTAAGAAACGTTCTTGCTAGAAACCTATAGCAGCCACGTAAAAACTTGCAACAACAATTAGAAGACGTCTAACTTGTTTTTGCAGCATATGCCGTGTGATGTGATATGGCCAAAAGGATGTGATGAATGATATATATGTGATGTATGAGATTGATCATGTTCTTGTAATAGGAATCACGACTTGCATGTCGATGAGTATGACAACCGGTAGGAGCCATAGGAGTTGTCTTAATTTATTATATGACTTGCGTGTCATTGAATAACGCCATGTAATTACTTTACTTTATTGCTAAACCGTTACCCATAGTAGTAGAAGTAATAGTTGGCGAGACAACTTCATGAAGACACGATGATGGAGATCATGGTGTCATGCCGGTGACGATGATGATCATGGTGCCCCGAAGATGGAGATCAACAGGAGCAAAATGATATTGGCCATATCATGTCACTATTTGATTGCATGAGATGTTTATCATGTTTTTGCATCTTATTTGCTTAGAACGACGGTAGCATAAATAAGATGATCCCTCATGAAATTTCAAGAAAGTGTTCCCCCTAACTGTGCACCGTTGCGAAGGTTCGTTGTTTCGAAGCACCACGTGATGATCGGGTGTGATAGATTCTAACGTTCGAATACAACGGGTGTAAGCCAAATTTACACTTGCAATACACTTAGGTTGACTTGACGAGCCTAACATGTACAGACATGGCCTCGGAACACAAGAGACCAAAAGGTCGAACATGAGTCGTATAGAAGACACGATCAACATAAAGATGTCCACCGATGATGACTAGTCCGTCTCACGTGATGATCGGACACGGCCTAGTTGACTCGGATCATGTATCACTTAGATGACTAGAGGGATGTCTATCTGATGCGGAGCATCCCACGTTCATCCCCATGTACACTCCGACTACTCTCCAAACCCTAAGAGGACTTATGACGAGGCCTCAACTATACGCCATTGGACACAAGGTGAACTCGCTCCTCTCCGAACCTTCACTTCCCACATGTGAGACATGGTTACTACCTCATATATATGTGCTATGCATGACCAGAAACAAGGAGGAAGACCATGGACAAGACAACGAGGACACCAAGTACAAGGACCAAGAGAAGGAGCTGCCCGAAGCTACAGCGGCCGGACGTCCGTCCAGGACCGGACGTCCGACGACTCCCAGGCTCCGGACGACCGGCCCCCTCCGGACGACCGTGCCAACGACCACCGAACCAAATCTGCGGACATCCGAAGAACTCCGGACGTTCGGGACCCCGCGAGCCTCCGAACGACCGGCCCCCTCCGAACGTCCGACCGAAGCGCACCCGAGCCGAATCTACGGAAGTCCGAAGAGCACCGGACGTCCGGACCTTCCCGAGCCTCCGGACGACCGGAACCCTCCGGACGTCCGACGCCTGTCTGCGCACAGTGTGTTGGGCCGCAGCCCATGTACCCCTTCACTTACCCCTTCGTGGCCCTAGACTATATATACTCCTCCACCTCCTCCTAGTTAGATTTAGCGTTGATTTAGCTCAATTAGAGATAGAGCTTCGCTCATCCACCGGATCTCCTCCTCGTGAGAGACCGCGGCCTCC